GTTGCCAGTCGTGTGGTTTGGCCCTTATACTGTTTTGTTGGAAGTCAATTTATAAGCAATTATTGCTTTTACCCATCTATATCAACATGCATGATTGACCCGGCATTCATATGTTGAATTCATATTTCAAAAACAACCATATCGATTGATACCGAGGTGATCTGAAGCACGGAAAGTTTTTTTAACCCTAGCATTATTTACAGTATCAAAAACGCCTATAATGTTTTGAGTGTACTGCCACGAAGGAAATTAAAAATCACTTGAGATTTTCATACAAGTCAGCTCAACTTTGTAATAACCTTAACTCCCTAAAAGTATTTGTATCACTAGAAATTCTCAAAAGTGTAAGGAACTACTTCCACTCTTTGAAAGAGAAGTTCAACCTCAAAGATTTGATTATCCGTGAGTTGCACGTATAGATTACATTTCGCCAGTCTAAGGCTAAAAGATGTCTTATATAAAATTCATCTTTATTTCAAACGTTTGAAATGTGTCTGAATTTCTTTTAACTAAAAAACGGCCCGCATCCCTACCCACTAGTTTCAGAATATTAATTATCCCATAGAGATTCAGCTGAAAAGAATTAAATACACTAGTTTATATATTATCATATATCATTTCTCCGAATTTTTTAACAAAGTTCATATAACGTCATCGGTCGTACATATAGTATGATGAATACCTATTTATTTAGTATGATTATAAAACTAAATATAATAATATACATGTGAATGGAATCATCTAATGCATTCTAATATTTTAGAAAATATATTACATTACTTTGTAATAGACGGACGTAAATGATGTTTCTAGTATGATATGTAGGTACAAGACAATTTGGATTTATATAGTCATTGAAAGTGCAAGATTTCATACCTACCATCAAAATTACTTGGAGGCGTGGACATGCTAACTCTCAAGCTTCATTCCTTTTAACGATTCAACGGGGTGTCACCTCCTATTTGCTATATTACTTGCCATCGCTCATTTCCCTGCACCAGGAGCAGATGCCAGCTCCGCCTTGCCAATCATCCAACATCGTGATCCGCGCGATTTGGTCTTCTGAACGCGCCTCCTCTGCCCGTTGCGTCGGGATGTGGCCCACGGACTGCCGGAGTCCATCATACAGTCCCTTCCTAATTCAAAGCTCTGCACCTTCGCGCGATCCTTCGTCCTCTCGACTCTTCATACAAGAACGAAGCTCGATATGCTACCAGATCTGGCTCCTCTAAGAGCCAGTCCCGCAGCGTACAAGGAGATGCCGGAAGTCTTCTTCTAAAGACCCTGGGCCTGACACCAGTATCAAAATAGTCCATTTGGAGCGTTCTCGCATGAGACGTAATTTTGTCGACACCGATCGGATGGTTGACTTGATGCTTTCGCGGTCCCGTCCCGCGAAGCTTCCACGGCTTGAACCGCGATACAAGAACAATTTCGTCTGCGGAGATAAACTCCTCTCTACTACCGAGAACGATCGGTATTTACAAGGAGGATGCCTCTTGCTTTCCGGTCGTAGACGTTTCACATACTTGTCCCGATATCCCCGATTTCCCTCGATCAGATCTCCGGTGCTCATCGAACGCTTTCCAGTGATCGTGACACGCACGTGGTTTCCATACCGGACTGATCATCAGACTAACTTATTGAGGTGACCGGCCACGGGTCTCCGCTATAAATGACTTCAGCCACCTCAATAGTAGAGGTATAACCAGCCTCCACCCTCATAGAGATGTAAACAATAGTTAACGCAACCTATCACAACAAATTATCAACCATAATGGTGGGGATTTATATGATGCTCCTCGCACTCCACAACCACAGAAGGAAAATGAATATTTTCATATCAAAACTTGCGTTTTCAAACCCCCTGGATACATTACTCTATACTCATATTCAATAGATAAACACAACTTTAGTTGTACGTTGGCTGCTTTACAACACATGCGAGTAAACTTTCGTCACTAGGTCACAGATCATATGTATGCACAGTAGATAACCATACGAAAATGTGAACATCTTCGCATGAACGAAGCTTATATTGTGAATGTGGTTTCTTAACTGTAGATGCAATCCGAAATTTGACTGGCCTGAACTGTCACATCGGAACTTGGCTGGATAAAGAATACAAATTTGGGTGTTAGTGCCAGTTTAATTTTTCCCCAAGCTAGTTATATATGTGCTGATACAACTGAAGATTAAGATTTGGTTCCAGAATCATTTCAGAATGGAAGAATTATAGCCAGGAGAATATCAGTGGGAAGCTCTTGCCTGCTTGGAATCGGTTGAATTAGAAATCTGTCATCTATTTAGGCCTGACCTGCAAGCAAATGTATCTTCGAATTTGTATTTCCATACCTTTAGAATAAAAACTACTGGAACTCATTCATGCAAAAGGAAGTCTTACTCACTTATAACACCGGTGGTCCACGCTAAAGGTGGAGTTTCACATGTCGAAAGAGAAAAATACGTTCAGTACATACGACGGAAACACCACCACGTATTGTACGGTGACCTAGGGACCGTGGTTAAAAGTGCTGTTGTATGGTTCCTAGGGAGAAGCAAGCATCGCCTATGGTGTTGGGATTATTGGTGGGCATGGAAGTCGATGCCGTCATTTCCCGATGCTGGGCGGGCCCAGCACCAGAAGTGACAGAATCGGACCACTCATGTGCGACGAGTGTGGGAGAAGCCGGCGTAGATGGTCAGATTCGTGGACACATTTGTGTACAAGAGCCGAGTTCACTGGCGTTGAAATGGGAGAAAGTTCTCAAGGGCCATCACGTATCAACACTCTGACTGGTCCGCATCTGATGCCAGTCCTACATGGTTCGGATAAAGCCTCGCTACGAGTTCCTAATACTGCTTCTGGTATCCTCTAGACGGCCGTCCTTCTGTGCGTCCTTTGAGCAAGATACGCAATTATGCTGCAATGTGGCTACGGTTCCTGGACCTGAGTTGCAAGTCAAACTCAACGACTTTGACGGATTGGGAGGGTCTGTTCAAAAAGCAAAACAAGAAAACTCAACTGTACCCAATGTTTCTCTTGACCCCTTAAGGGAACGATAGTTGATAACTGTTGTTTAAGTGTTTACGATCGCCGTCGTCCGCGACGTCAAATGTTAGACTCGACATAATTGCGCAGCAAATCTTCACTGACAACCTCTCGCTTGTAGCTTTGAACTGCAGACTGAGACAAAGGAAGAGGAATGTACATGTCTCGGTAGGCTGAGCTCAAGAGAACATCGAGTATATGTGATGACCGTATCGTCACTGGTTGGGGAACCAAGTCAAGGTGCATGCACCTCCCATCGCATCAGAAGTCCTGCCGTCTTCTTTTTGTTACGCTGCTTTTGGAGCAGAGATTTGACAACAGGGGACCCCTAAGAATGTGACACACTGGATGTTCGAATTCTCGTATGCCGTGAGTCTAGAAGGAGTTTATAAGTAGTGAATCGAATCACCCCAAAAGATCAGTATCACCTTCAACGACCACAATTATTTGGAGTGGTGGTTACTAAGTATGCGATTATTTCCTTGAGGGACCATGATGCTAGTGCCTCATCATGCATGGTAGGTATGCCTCAGTGACGAACGAATATATCGGTCCTGCACCGCCCGCACAGTGAACAAGTAAACCTACAATTATATGTACGATTTCAAGCCTCTGCCGGCAGGACTCGGATTTCCCAGAACCAGGTAAACTAGGTCAACGGACGGGGCCCTTGAGGCCAGACCAGGCAGACCTGTGAAAGATGGGAATTATACAGAATTAGCTCTAGGAAAAGGGGATACCCAGATCTCACATGGATGAGAGCTGGGAATCACGACAAAGCATTATGTGGAGGATTTGTTTCATTGAGGTAGCTGAGGTTCCATCCTTTTAGTCCTTCTCATAGTCAGGAATTTATCGAATTATGTGGGTTAACAAATCAATCAAACTAGACCACGGTGATATGCCATTTATAACAAAGAAGGCATACTGCCTTCTTTGTTAGCAAAGAGTACCTGCCTAAAGGATCACCTTCTAAGAATGGTTTGATATATAATGTTAAATGTTGTTCTAGTTTACCAAGCTAATAAATTAGTGATTGAATTCATAAACTGTTAATTAAATGAATTCATGGTTGGCCTAGTAGGGTACAAAAAAAACTTAATCCTTTTATGGTAAAAATAAAAATTTGACATATTCGATAGATGTATAATCAAGAATATATATTAACTCTCCTACATACTTCAAACGTTATATTGATATGAATCAATTTTTAATATCACTATATGCATGAAAAAAACTACTTTTGATACAATAATTATATTTCATATTAGATTTTAGAAATCTCATTCAATGTACCATTTTAAGTATTTTTTTTAAACGAGTATATATAATGATTGTACGCAGTTTTATGGACAATGTTGATTTATTCTATTCAACATAATTCTCATCATGGTTTAAGTTCATTTTATGGCGATACATGTTTTTTTAATCAGCTCGGCCTCCTATCTTCTTCTCCCATTTTCAAACAGAGAAAAGCCTCCCAAAATAAAATTCGCGAATCGGCATCTTTGTCATAAACTTATTTCAAACGAGTAGTTCAGATCCCAGGGACATATATTGAGTTTAAAGTTTAAAGTTTAAACTCTCTTCAGCTTGTCTAACGTACCAGACATCATAAAACTTCACCTTCCCGATGTGGATGTCGAATATGCGCTTGCACTTCTGAGCCGCTCCGTTGGCCGGAGACACGTTTCACTCGCAGGTGCCAAGGATCCATCGGCCCAAAGAACGCCAAGTACGCTGGAGCTCCCTTTGCCTACCTTTGCCTTTCCTCCGGGTCTGCCAAAGAGTGCCGGTCGGCCGGCGTGAAGCCCGTGGATTGTGACCTACAGGAGCCCGTCGACACTTCGGCTACTGCTGGACTGCGTCTGGAAATCTAGAAGCCTGTACTCATCTGGTCGTCTGTGTATAAAGAGCTGATCCGAGTCTCAGCAGACAGATCAATCTACTTGCAGCAATCGACCTCACCTCAGAAGCGAACTTCTTCTCTCAATCTTGCTCGCTCTTTCTCCGAGGTCAGCTCAGTCGCTCAACATGGGTATCGAGATTCACGGAACTGCCGCTTCCACCTGCACTGGAAGAGTGCTGCTCACTTTGTTCGAGAAAAATGTCGAGGACTACAAGATTGTCCAAGTCGATATGGCGAAGGGAGAGCACAAGAGCCCCGAGTTCTTGAAGAGCCAGGTACAAGCCCGATCCGACTTCTCCTAATTCGTTCATGCGCTGCTGCATATGCTCATCGGACAACGGAGCGCGTCTAGGATGGGACGAGGCTCTTTGCCTTCGTCGTGTGCTTCATGTTCTGTGGTCGCCTCGGTTGAGCTTGCGCTCTACCCGGCCGTCGATCTTAGGTTCCTATCACTCTGTGTATGCAGCGCAGTAGCGAGTTTTAAAATTCTAGTTGCCTTGCACCGCGATGATGGTGGCGGGACGGGAGTCTTTCCACAAATCATCGAGCATGGAAACTCTTAAATTCCTATACAGGAGTATCGAGAGTTATCTGATCGCATCTTCCGTTACACTGGTTATTCCCCCGCCGATTGTAGAGATTTCATATTCCTCGCGAATATGTTATCATGTTGTGCTACTGAGGGACGAACTGGCATATGCAGAATCTAAGTCTTCCACTCACTTCCACTTGCTTACCACCTTTTGCACCTTACCACCAACTTTACAAATCATGAGGCCGGATGTCGGGGTCGACAATTCCGCTCATTGAGCTCCTGGATTTTAGTGCTTCGTATTACGGTCTGCACTCCCTACTGGATAGTCGATGCACATGCAAGTCTCTAGTAATCCGATAGAGGGAGGGAGATCTGACATTTGCTTCTTGATGTGGCAGCCATTCGGTCAAATTCCTTACATCATCGACGGAGACGTGAAACTCTTCGGTAAGTCTTCAGCCCCTCGATTCGCGTTGCTATTTCACATTTCTGGTTGTACGCGATGATGAAGCCAACTGACATAAGTTGTCGAAACGTGCGAACAGAGTCCCGCGCGATTGCCAGGTACGTGACGAAGAAGTTCGCCGACCAGGGCACTCCCCTGTACGGATCATCTCCCAAGGACGCCGCCTTGACCGAGCAATGGTTGGAAGTCGAGTCGCAGAGCTACAACGGACCAATCTCAACCATTGTCTTCAACCTGGTGTTCGCGCCCATGTTTGGAATGACCACCGACGAGGCCGTCGTGGCTGCCCAAACGGCTAAGCTCGAGGCCGTGCTCGATGTGTATGAGAAGAGACTGTCCGAGAGCAAGTACTTGGCCGGCGACTTCTTCAGCCTGGCCGATTTGTCCCACATCACCTACACCCACTACTTGATGAACGTGGCCCAGAAGGGAGCCATCTACGACTCTCGCCCCCATGTCAAGGCCTGGATTGCCGACCTCTTCTCGCGCCCCTCTACGCAAAAGTGGCTCAAGGAAGCCGGATTCGCCAAGTGAAAACTTTCTCACCTCTCACTTTACATGAGCATATAATTTTTGGGGTACTCCTAACCTCTGACTGAGGTGCGACGGCCATCGTGGCCAAGTGTGAATATTTATAAAGTTTATAAACATAGGCCACCACTTTTGTATACATGAGGTATGCTTCTCGGACTCAAATGTGGATGAATTTTCTCCGATCTTTGGCAGATAAAGTGTTCTGTCCGCCATGTGATCCAAGTGTACAGGCTGAAACAAGTGCCTGGGTACTCTGCACTGTGAAGAAACTTCACTTCATTGCCACCCGAATTTTGCATCCTGTTATGAATATATTCCGCCAAAATTTTTTCAAACCTATAAGTTTAAACTTAACAATCGGAAACCGATCAATTCAAACATTTACACTTGGTGTAAACGTTAATCTTCACATCTAACTAATTATATCAATTTATAACTTATCCTTGCGTCTGATAGTTGACAATTTGCTCTTGTGAAATATAAAAGCCAGTGCCTCCAGACTAGAGTATGAAAAATGTTGGGAAGTCAACGAACACAACCTTAACCTTATAATTCAAAAAAAAAGTGGAAAAAAACCTGGAAAAAACATTGTACATTTTCCTTCTAGTTCTATAATGCCGAATGCATGACAAGATCACTTGAGCAAACAATCTGGGAATTTTTGCTGCCACATTGTGCGTTTTTTCTATTGAATCGTAGGTTTCGCAATAACAGGTGATAACGAAATTGCAATCTGACCGAAGTTAAAAGGTATGTTTTGTTTAAAATAAAGCGATATAAGCACGCTGGATAGACAATGCCGCAATAGCTGTGAAAGAGCGCAAAATCATAATGTGGACTGTTTCATTCATTTTGAGTGGTTAGTCACAGCATTCACAGCATCAGAACAGAATGTATTCTTTTTAATAAATTCTGTTCTCCCTCCCAGCGAGAGTTCTTTCATCACCAGAAAGAAAGACCGTCCATGCTAATTACAAAGACAAGAAAATTTTCCACCTCAACTCCCGAGGTGGAAGCCATTTATCTCTTGTGAGTTCACCATTCCTTATTTTAATCATATAATGAAATTCTATTTTTATCAACATCTTCATAACATTAAGTCTGAAACATAATATTCAAAAGGGGTTTAAGTGGGATGGTATTCAAGTGTAATGAAAACATCTGAGTGAATATCATAACAACTAAAAATCATTATAATTAGCTAAACTTAAAAAACAACTTACAAATGCAAAAAGCTACAACTTCATTACACTTGTATTGAAAAGTGACTCCAAAAAACATTCGACAACTTAAAGAGCTACATTATTTTTTTGCAAAATGTATGCAAGTTAAACCTCAATCTTTCATCATGCGATGATACTAAACGTAAATTGATAGGTTTTTGAACAATATGGCAAATAATTAATATATATATATATATATAATTGAATTTACTGCTTGAAATTTATCTGGTATTATGCATCCACAAAAAAAAATTTCATGCATAATGTCCTATAAACATTTTGACTTAATTTGAATATTTATGATAAATTCTATTTTCATTATTATAGATAATTAAACTAAATTTTTTATAAAATCTAGACTTATATAGTTTTATTCAATATCATGAATGCAATAAAATGCCATAATGAAGTGAATCAGATTTTTAATGAGATACATTCAAGAATGATACATATATAATGAAATATTTTTTCAATTATAAAATAAACTAAAACGAAGGAAAAACTAAAATAATAATATTCATCATTAAAAATAATTTTGCAACAAAATTGATAAATTTTCAATATAAGATTTTTGAGAAATAATAAATTTATAAAGCATAGTTATTAGAAAATTTATATGTAAAAATATATAATATAAATAGTATATATTTGATCGATAAATTTCAACATTTAATATTAAAAAATAAAAATAAAAAGCATCATGAGGTTTTTCGTGGAAAAAATTGTCCTCACATTGGAAATAAAAAACTATATACATAAAAACAATAAAAAAAAACACAATCACATTAAAAAAATTTAGCTAAGTCAAAATAATGATAATACTATGATATTTCAAAAGAAATGCATGATACATTATGATATGATAAAAGTTAAACGTCATCAATTTGATATGACATCAAGATTTCAAGTACTTTTATTTTTATTTCATTTGATAATCCATTATTTGATAAAATTTTGATGATTAATTACGCATATTAATTTCAAAAATATCACAATCTTTACATTTGCATTAATTTTTCTGGGATCAACCTTTGAATATTTTTTAATATCAAAAAATTGATAATATATAAAACATTTTGGTTTTGGTTTTTTATTATTTTTCTTGATATATTTATACAATCCACATGACATAATGGTATAAAATTATATTACCATGGAGAATAATAGAGTAAGATGTTATTGTCATTAAGATAGTTCAAATTTTTGTTTTTATATTCAGTCTCAATGTCATAATCTTCCAAATTGAATGATTCAACTCATAATACATACTTATATTGGTTCTACTAATCTGATTTGAGTATGTATTATAAAATAAACATACTCAAATCAATTGATATGCATAGTATATTTCAATTATAAGTGGTTCATCAACAATAACTTGCATATTTAATTCTTACTCTTCAGTAATTTGATATATCTTTGCTTTAATTTATTTCAGTGTCACATTGTTTAAGTTCATAATAATGAATTTCCCATTCAACAATAAATGAGAGAAAAAATTGTTCTTTTCAGTATGAAAATTTTAAAACTCTAATTATCTTTTATGATTAGGATTCATTAAATAAATATTTATTTATTTATTTATTTATTTATTTATATATTGACAATAATCTTACAAACTAAGTGATCTCATAGCCTATAATACTTCAAACTACAAGCATATACATGAATACGATTTTTTTTATGTAAGATAGATATTGATCATATTCTCTCTAGGTACAAAAATAAATCTTAGATTCAAAAAATTTCAAACAATTTAAATCAATCATTTTCTTGTAACTCTATTCAAACGATGTTAAGAATTTTAGTTCATTCAAAGCAACCAAAGATTATCAAATACATTTGAGATTTAAAAAAATTTGTAAATATCAAAGTGTTTTTGCTCCAAAATCCATATGATTAATTATTTATGCTCAACCAACTATGTGTTTTTTTCAACATTGTTTGATTAAATCTCTCAAAAGATAGTGTTTTGTTACTTGATGAGATTACAAGTGATATTTGTCTCTTTGTAGTATATTAAATTACTCAAAAGTATACTCCTTACTACTATTTATCGGTAGATATCTCATCTTGTGTCTAGCTAGTGACTCAATTTGAGCTTTCTATATTATATAATCTATATGCATTTGTTTGTTAAAAAGTTAATCCATACACATCTGTAGTGTTGATACATAGTATGATTTTTGTTAAAGTGAGACTTTCAAAATTTGTTTGAAAACTATTTGTATCCATTTGAACATTTATTTCAACACTAAAGATTATACTATGATGCTTTTTATAACTCAAAAGTCATGAAATTTAAAATCAATTGTATCTATGCAAGGAAATATGATCATATCATCAAACGCTATTCAACATCCATTATTCATGTATACTAGTCTAAAATTTTATTTCAATTCAAAATTTAGTAAAATCCACTTCATCACATATGATAACTTGTTCTAGCATAGACAGATTGTTATGCTTATGAATTTTTAACATATTCTTAACTAATATTGTCACCTTGAGCACTTTTTTGATACGAATCTTTGAATTTTAAATTATAAGAGAAAAAACCATTTTTCTTCAATCATCTTTAGATTTGACTTGAATTAGGCACTCTACTGCATCAAAAATTTAAAACTTGACATTTTCGATACATTTAATGTTATCACATTGATGATTTTTTATAAGAATTAATTTATTTGATATTAAAAAAATGTTAAAAAATTTCTAATATAACAAATGTGATAAGAGTAAACACAATCTAAATTTTGTATACCATCAATATTTTTTGATGTATTGCATCGAGCATAACTCTTGCAACATAGTCTATCATATAACAGATTATGGTACTCAATATCAAACTATTGAACCATCTTATAAAAGTAGATTATCAATTTTGATCTTTAAGAACAATCACTTTCTGACCACTTTGAATATGGCGATTTGGTTTGAAACACCACAAATAGCCATATACAACTTTTGCACAGCGCCACGAATAAAATCTCCTAGATCAAGTCTCTCGAAAGTCATTCTTTCTCATTTTATTATACTGTCAATGACTGCCAAGCGTCAAGCATCTTATAAAATAAAGCATTCACTTGAATTTGGTGTTAAAATTTGTGAACGCTATGCTGTCTCGAAAGCTGTAGTATCAGCGTCTTGTCTTTTCTACATTCACTTTGGTCGTGAAGAGCAGATCGACACGAAACGAAGCCGCACAGTAAATGTTATGAACTTCAAGAAGTCCTTTCGTGCCGACACGAGGATGATGTCGCAACATCCAAGGCACTGGAAAGAGTACAATGAGCTAACCTCTACTGAAAAGACTATTTTCTTTGACGACAATGCTCTTGTGATTCACCGCAACACAATCAAATCACATTTTTCTCATGTTCAAGTTCCTCTTCACTTGTTTGTGAACAAGCTTATTGTTGATGTTCTTTCATACTCATGATTCGATCGATAAGATTACGAAGGAGCGTGCTCTCAACATTTTCAAATATGTGCTCAATCCTTTAGAAGCCAATGTTGTAGCTGACGATGATAATGTCGACGTCGTCGCCGATATATATCTTATCGACTTGAAGAATCTTGCTCAATTCAATCTGATTGCTGATTAACTCAGCGTCGGCGGATTCTTTCGAATGCCCTCGAGAATTCTTATGATGACGAAGGAGCGCACTCGCTTGGCCTCTATTGGCTCTGCATCTGAATGTAAGCTGACTAGCTACTTTTGCTTTATTTGTGCGCTGAATCTTCAAACGCTGCTCAAACTGCTTTCTCAAGTGTGGAATTTTTTGATCGCAATAAATATGTCTACTCACAGGGCGACCTCCTATCAGGATATCCGGATTTGCTTGCAATGGAAAGGTGTCATTTTGACCTTTCATTTGCTAACGATCCCAATATTCAGCCGTCATACTTAGAAAA